TTTGTATTTTTTCATACTGTAAAGAAAAAGGGAAAAAAAAAAAAAGAATATTATTCAGATACATTTGTAGAATACAAAAATCAGACATTTTGTTTTTTGCAGAAATGGCTGTACAAAAATGCGTTTGAAATAAAAGCTCATTACGGTTAATTATTATCTCGTGTTTGATGCATTGGTATATGCCAGGGGAAAGTAGCATAAGGGCTTGTTCACACCAAATGCAGACCAGATCTGCATGAGTTTCTGCACACGCAGTGCAATGTGTTATACCGCGTGGGCGGACAGGTAAGGAGTGCGACCAGCCCAACTGAGGGTGACCCTGCAGAGCCCACCATAGAGAGACTAGTGTGGGCTCTGCAAGTTCACCCTCAGGTGGGATCTCGAGTGGGCTCTGCAAGGGGTATAACTAGAAATTACGGGGCCCAATACAAAATTTTGCTATGGGGCCCTGTGATTTCTAATTACGCCCCTGGTCACCAGTACTTCAAGTTTTCATGAAGTTGTCTTGAATCCCTCCTGAAATCAGAAGTGTGCCTCCTGTGCCTTTGGCATCCTAGCTGTATGTCAGTGTGACATCATCTAAGGCACTGCTGCCTCTGACTGATAGTCTCACCAGATCTGGAGTGATATTTGGTGATGCGTTTCCTGTGCTAATAAATGTTCTGCTTGCTGGAGAGGACTCTGTACCTGAAGACCTGCAGTGCAAGGATCTCCCTGCTCCTGCTTCATTCACTTTGTGTATCTGTGCTTCCTGTACCTGCTTCTTCTTCATTACCCCACCAGTCATCGGGGGGCAGCTCCAAAATGAGGATGCAAAGCCCTGCCTATATCAAGATTGCCCCTTCCATACAGAGACACAGTGCAGAACAAGGCATGGTAAGTCAGTAATGGGAAAAGGATCAGCAGCAGGGAGCCATGGGCAATGCAGGTGACAAGTCCTTTGTCCTCCATTAGCCTTCTTTGGGCATAGCTTCCGCAGTACAGGCAGTGGCTTCACAAGGGGGGTGCGGCCCACACCTGGGTGACACCATTGGAGGGAGTGACACCAAAATGACTGACAGTCATTTTGGTGTCACCCACTCTGAAATGTTGGGCACTCAGTCATGGACTGAGAGCCTGACAGTTGCAGGAAAGAGCAGGGGAGCCGGCAGCAAACCTTATCCCGCCAGGTGAAAGTCCCCTCCTCTCTCTGCCAGCGTCCATCACCAAGATGGCTGCCGGCAGGTATCACCAAGATGACCAGGCATGCACGATGACGTCACGGCGGGGTGTCACCCGGTACCCGCTCCGGGTCCTCTTAAAAACATCAATACTCTCTGAGAGGGGGAAGTAATATTTTCTTGCTCCCATCCTGTTTGCCTTGTTGCAGACCCATCTGCCACCTCCCTGCTGTTCCCTTAGTAAAAAAAAGACTTTCTAATGTCAAGCTGATTCTGTCTGGCTCCCTTTTAGCCATCACGGCACAAATCATTCACGTGGTCCTCCAAGGTCTCACATTACGGGACTCCCTGAGGGCAGCTACAGAGCAGAGCGGGGCCAGCAGACCCGACTCATTACCAGGCTCCTTACTAATTCCAATATTCATTCACACTCTATATAATCAGGGGAAACAATGCCATTCTCCTTGTAAAACCTTCTGGCTTACACATGAAAGCCATAAAAACATTGTAAGTGCCAATATACCGGGTCATTGCAAGCTCTATTTTTGAGATGCATTGCAGGTTTGAAATATAAAGAGTACCTGTAATCACTGCAAGCTTCCTTAAGTCGGCTGCCTTATGCTGTATAATGGTTTTAAAACCCCAGTGACTTATCAGGGGCAATTTGGGGTAAATTTACTTAAGGTATTAAATACTATGGGCATTAAAAAAGAAAAAGACTGGGCCAAAAAAGTGAAAATACAGAGCCAGAAAATGTAATTTATAGGGATGCACCGATACTAGTATTGGTATCGGTGCCGATGCCAAGTATTTGGGTGTGTACTCATGCGCGCCCAAATGCTCCGATGCCTAGCCCGATATTTCCCGGGCAGCGAGTGATTACACGCTTCCCTGCTTCCTGATTGGCCGGGAAGCCGGCTCCATACTCCCTCGTCACTTGGAGCTGGTTTCCTGGCCACTCAGGAAGCCGGGCAATGTGTAATGACTCACTGCCAGGCTTCCTGATAAAAACAATTATCGGTATTGGTGCATCCCTGGTAATTTATGCCACTGGAAAAATTAATACTAAATAACCTTAAACTGCCCATAATCTGCTGCGCATAATCTGCTGCCAATCTCCTGCCCAGCTATACATCCGTTGGCACAACATTCCCACCACTAGATGGAGCTGAGGAGCATAGGAAATTCAGATGCTCCTCAGCTCCACCCAGGGGCAGAAATGCCATGTGAACGGCATTCACCCAGCGTATCACTGGACGGAAGATCTATAAATCGGTCCCTTGGTGTGATAAGCATTGTGCATCGTAACCGATTGTGACATGACCCTGATAGAGTCAGCCTGATGGTGGAACTGCGAGTCTCAGCATGGCCTGTCAGTGGAATGCTCTCACGTGAAGCTGTCCCCGGTGCGCTTTTGCATTTCTCACGACCCTCTCATGACTCTTGTGAAAAGCCAAGCCCTGACCAGAATGATTTACACCCGGCAAGACGGGAGAGAGTTTTTCCCTCGGCAAGATCAGACACGTTACATTTGTAGCAATCCCAGGAAATATTACTACAACCTGTAAACTCACCAGCTGTGCTCTCTGCAAGTTACCCGGCCGGAGAACCTTGGAACGCAACTGGCAATGGACTCATCACACAAGTGTAGAGGGGCGGTCCTGTCCTCCACAAACGGACCACATTCACGCTTGTGATTGGGGCCAATTGGGGCAATCTCATAAATTGCTCCATGAGACTCATGCAAACAACTGACAGCAGCTGCAGAAGTTTACATGGCGCTGGCAGCTGCCATTGCTGTGTATAGCTTCGCAAAGCCGTTTGCAAGTCTCACAGAGCAATTCATGACGCTGCCCCAATTGGCCCCAGTCGCAAGTGTGAATGGGGTCTGAGTGTAATGAAGGCATCAGAAATTCAGACCCCGAGGGGCATTAAGGGCAGGTTCACATCATTTTCCGGACCAGATCTGGTCCGGAAAATGGTGTGAACCTGCCTGCAGTTCCAGTGCGTTCCAGACCAGACAAAATGAGACATGCAGTATTTGTCTGGTCTGGTCTGGAACGCACTGGGCTGGTGTGAACAGAGGCCGGAAATAACATAGGGATACATTAGGATGCATTTTGGGTCCGGGAACAATCTGGTCTGGTCTGGAGATGATCTGGATGTGGTGTGAATGGGCCCTTACAGAGGTCAATTTTGCGATTTGGTAAGTCAATCCTGTGAAAGGATCAACTGCATTTCCAGCGAATAATCACAGAAATATACCCAGGGACGATGATATCTGCAAAACTTGGATACATGCAAAGATCGAACCAATTTTAGCACAACAATTGGTCTCAAAAAGGTATTAAACATTCAAATCTAAAAAAAAATGGTACCAAAGTATATAAATCCAAACGAGGTAATGCTTAGTAATCAAAGTGATACTTAGTATTCAAAATCAGATGACATCACAGACAGAGGCGCCACCCTATAGGGTTTCTGAGGAAGCCCTATTGGGTTCCCATGTAAGGTGTGAAATGGTTATGGGGAGGTGGTGTGTGCAAAGATGGGCTTCAAAGGTAAGGACACCATAGTGGTCTGTACAGCAGGGAAGAATATGGATGTACATTGTGTATGGCTTTTGGGGGTGTTTCCATTTCTAATGGACCACACCTCCAAAACCACCCATGGCTCTAATTCACCACATTGTGTAGACTTGTAGGACAAAAAAAAGGGGTCATATGCTTTTTCTGATGGATGGACATGTATTGAAGGCCCATAGGAAATGCATGGGTGCCCATAAAGATTTGTGTACACCGACGCTAATGTAAATGGGCTATATAACGCACGCTGTAACCCACACGTGGGTGTGATTGGGCCCAAAGTCCTAAGATGGAGATTTCAGCCTCTAATTAGTAGGCAGGCCTTGTCCCCTGAGTCAGTTTACATGCAAAATTTTCATC